TTATCGATTGCTTTGGAAACTTCCCTGCAGTTCTAACCCAATATTGGGTTCGGTAACGACTGCAATATCCGAGAGAATGTGTAGCAGGGTTGGGAGGCTTTAGGCGGACACGTCGCTTTTGATAACGCAGACAGCTGCGTGGAAAAGGAGAGGAAATGGCGTGGCGATGCGCCTATGCCCGCAGTGCCGTGGAGTGTGGCGTGAGGTCTATCGCCAAGGCGTACGAAGGAAGAAGTGAGAACGCTGCTTTAGAACTCGTGCTCTGATTGACCGTGTGACTGCAGGAGCAGGCTCCTATTCTACGGATGCTGAGGGCGTATTTCAAAACATTCTAGAGCTGATGATGTGTGCAGTATAATTGTTAATACCCACCATAGCTTTTACATTTACTTCATTGTTTTATTGTAAATTGAAAAAAAGAAATCAACGGAAAAGTTGATTGGCCCTTTCTAATACCCAAGTGGACAATAATATATAAACGACGAAAGAAAATGACGTTATATGCTGCAGAATTTTACCCCATGATGTTATTTAATGTAATCTATACTGCTACGTCATATATTCTTGGAAACCAAAACATATATTAGAAATTAATTCTTAAATAACATTAAATGCACATTGAATTAATGTTATATTCGATCTATTCGGAATTATGTACCTTGAAGCATCAACACAGAGAGAAAAAATATTAAATGTGAAAGAGTAAATATAAAAACAATCGTGGCAAACATCCTGTAGAAAACAAAGGAGAATCAACTCTTAAAGCTTAAGTAAAGAAAGGTACTGATACAGTATTATAAGTCAATAATCAAAAGCCAGTAGACAAAAAGGTAGAGTAAAACTATTTGGCAACTCATAATCCTCAACTTTACATGATCTGTATTCGTTAGAACATTTTAGTTGACCTAGTATAATGTCTGAATCACGGAGTATCAGTAGCACGGAGGAGATGATACGGATTATGAAGGAACAGTAATAAGGAAGGTAAAGGATAATGAACATGTGTAGTTCATGATCTGAATGTTATTCAAATGTTCTGTCATCTCCCATTTATTAATAGTAAATTTTACAATGTCAACATTGATGTTCATCTATAATCCAATTTCCTCAAAACTAACAAATTCATTTAATTAAGCAAACACACGGCAACAAGCACCACAAGAGTAAGCACTACTGAATCAATTTCACCAAGAGTGACATCCAGTGCCCTACAATCCTCATCGATTCCTGTCCCCCTCGCCGCGCTCCTTCTTCAGGGCAAGCCTCGGACAAAGCCTCGTAACTCGGAAAGCCGTTCGCGTTAACCACTCCTCCAGCGCGCAGCGAGTCAATGAATCGCGGAATCAACACGTTCCGTCTGCTCTTCGGTCACATATTGACCTTCGCGCCATCGGCGGCGACGGCGGCGGCGGCGGAAGCTCGAGTGGCAGATCAATACACCGCTCGGACGGCGTAATCTATTACCCATGCGTCGGGCGGTGACGGGTCTCTCGCCTGTGCGACGCCCCCCCCCCTACTGCGCCCCCAATCTTCCCGCCCTGCCTCCGCCCAACCATGGAGCGTCCCGCGACACCCCCTCCTCCGCCCCCCGCCGCGCCTCCTCGGCGCCGACCGCCCTCGCCCTGCGACTCGACGGCCGCGACGGCGACGACGGCGACGACGGCGACGACGGCGACGACGGCGACGACGGCGACGACGGCGACGACGGCGGCGGGGCGGCGGCGGCGGCGGCGGCGGCTGCGCCCCACGTGGGGGACACGTGATGCCCGCGCGCCTGCCTCTGCGGGCGCAGATGAAGAATGGACATGCAGCAGCAGGAACAAATTGCCGAAGTCGAGATGACATTACTTATTGAGTGGGTGGGTACGTCGAGCGGGCAGCCGTTCGGACACCAGGCGCTAGGAGCCGCTTTCATCCACAGAATTCGGGTGGCCCGCGTAACGTGCTTGTTGAGAATGATTAGCAAGGGCCGAGCCAAACACGACGGATGTGTCAAATTCAATAGATGACGAGAAAAAGAGGGTTGAAAGGAAGAGATAATGAAAGATGGTAATAAGCAAGGAACCTAAGAAAAATTGAAAAGTATAAAAAAATGTAAATAATGAAACTCAAAGAAAGGAAAGGAGACTCGGAAAGTCAAGAGGAAGGTTAATACTCTATCAGCAATAAAAGGAATGGAAATGAAGGCATAAGACAACAAATCTGCAACACGAGAAATTACTTTTAAGAACTACCTGATGAGTGTGCTCGGGACTTTCTCATATAACCTACATTATGATAAGGTTGTATCTTCTAGCATTATTGACACTTTTATATCATTTTGAAAACATTTTTTTTCTGAAACAATTGGAAAGCCCGTATCAATAAATAAAATAGACTGTATTCGTTTTCTTTTACAACCTAGAACTCTTTTACTCGATAAACCAATTGGTACAGCTAATTATTCGATAAGTATCTTGAAGTAATTTCAAATTTCATTATTTATTTATATGACAACCTGGAATGTGAAAAGTACTGGTTGACATACTATTTATATCAGACTTACAAAGATTGTATAAAAAGAACTTTTCGGAACGGTTTTTTTATTTTTTGGTGGTTTCTCTCATGATACTCAAATGCATTAATTATTTAATGAAATTTGTCACACAATTAAAAAAGTTCAGGAATGCAGAAATATAAAGCAGCGACATATAATATCGTCCGTTCGTCCGAACATTCGATGAAAGAGACGGATACAAGAGAAAGTCGAGAAGGTTATTATTCATCGCAGTTCAATTTTTATTGACAGTGCACTGAGCTAAGATTAAACAGATCCACGCTATTTTAGAACTGGCCAATCAGACGTTGATCGTCGAGAAGTAAAACACTTGCTGGGAAAGAGAACACCGTGTCAATTACTCCTGCCTATTGCTCACCTACAGTGCTGATCCATTCACAGATCAGAAATTTAAGGACTGCACTTGAAGATGGAGGTTGCCATTCATTCACGTATGTATCAATGAGTCAGAAAAGCGGCAGTCAAAAAGATACTCAGTTCAGAAAATTCAGTGAAACCTATATTAAGCGCCCACTCTTTGTTACGTAAAAACAGTGGTATTTTAGTGAGGCGGTTTGCATCATATTAGACGTTTAGGAGAGGGTCCATTACATTGGATGTTTATGAAACGTTTTAAGTATATGAGCGCGAAAGTTAAAATATAAAACATTTTGACCTAGTTTTATTTTGCCTTTTAGACAAAAATGCGTTTTCAGAATAATTTGCTATCTTTTTAAATGAATATTAAAATATTTATATCTCATTTTCGTAAAAATACACGTTTAAATCAGTTTCAGTTTTAGCACTGCCAATAGTTTTCTAAATAGTACAGCCAATAGTTATCGTGCTGTTAACGCTCGTCAATTCTTCTTCTTGCGTCAATTGAATTTGTGATTTGGGTACGCATGACACACACATTACATCTTTGGAGCTCAAAACTTCGCTTTTCTCGCACTTCTTTGAACACAAAAAAAGTCAAGGTTTGGGTCAGTCTTGGGTCAGAGCTGCGCTCGGATTCCGGACGCCTCCCAAACAATCGCGTGATACGTCCATTACCCTGACTTCGACATGGATATTCTACCGCACCAGATGTTCTCTCAGGAAGGTAAAGTAAGAAAACTTTTAATTCAAAGAATTAATCGTTAGATCACTTTAATATCCGCCCTCTCATTAGAAGAAAAAAAACTGAAATGATGAGAGAAACCGTGATACCATTTCAGTTGTCACGGTTTATTGTTACACGATTCCAGGAATCCCACCGAAATCTGATTTCCTCGAGAATGAAGCTAAGGTATGTCATGCGAATGTGTTTTACATCGAACATTTTTTTTCATTGTAGAACGCAAAATTCTGTTACTGTATAATTATAACATTCCTAAAAGTGGTATCTGGGGTAAATTAATACATTTGCTATAAAGAGGCTGGTAGGTGGTCGGGGAGAGGGGTAATCTGTTTACAGTTCGAGAGACATCGGTCGTTGTGTTTTTTACAAGAAGTTTCACTAGACATTACGTAGAAGTACAATTAATTTTTCATATTTTTAACAATTAAATAACTTCCTACCTATTTTTTAAAATATTTCCAGACGCGAGAAATTTTAATCGAATTTTTAAGTAAGCGTTTTCAGCTTGCCGTCAAAGTATTTGTATGAATTCGATCACGTTCGAAAGGAGATATAAAATACGGAAAGTGCCAATGTCGGTAAATGTTTAATAAAATCCGAACTATTATCCTATAACACACCTTCATTTCACATCAACAAAATAAGTATCTTTATTAAGATCTAATATATACCAGATCTCCTAAAAAGCCAAAATAATATTACCATTCACAGATATCATTAATTTGCGCATCGAAGTGTAATTCGGTCATACCTGCAGACCGGTTAAAACAACTACAGTTCTTTTCAGTACTTTTCTATCAACCAGATCACATTTTTTCTAATTGCGTATCAATTTATACATTTGTTATTAGGGATAATAAACTAAATTAACAACAATACTTTTCTAAGTACTGTAGTTCTAAGAGCTCTACGAAGAAATTAATTTTTTAAATGCGAATGAACTGTTTATTTTTAGAATATGTAAACTCAGTTAACGCTCAATAAGAAAGAACCGGAGGGGCAAAGAGGAGCGGGGTCGGAGGCGGTCGGAGGCGGTCGGAGGCGGTCGGAGGCGGTCGGAGGCGGTCGGAGGCGGTCGGAGTCGGTCGGAGTCGGTCGGAGTCGGTCGGAGTCGGTCGGAGTCGGTCGGAGTCGGTCGGAGTTGAAGGTGTGCGTGTGAATGTGTGGGAGGGGCGGAGTGAGCTTGGGTGCGACGGTGGCTTACGCGCCCGCGTCCGCATGGTTCGCCCACGTTCCTCCGCCGGCCCGCGCAGCCGACGCGCAAGCGAGAGCGCGGGCGCGCGCCCGGAGGCACAGCGCTGCGCTGCAGCCGGTCGATGCCCCGCGCCGTTCAGCACTCACCTCGCCACCGCCTCGCTGTACACGAAGCCCGCCGTCGCCCGGCGAACCACCTCGAAACACAGGTCCGAGCCATCCATGCTGCAACACACAAACGAATGAGGTCACAAAGGGAACACAATTCAGGAGCAACAAAAAAATCAACAGTATCGAAAAAAACGTCCTGACAAATAGGCCATTCTCTAGTGCTTCATTTATCTATTTAGTTATCATATATTTATTGTCTGGTTGTTTTGCTCAATATTTGAAAGAATTTTACACGGCAAAAACATTACAAAAAATCACACATTTCATAAAAACGTAACGTTATATTTACCTTACTTTCGTAAAAGTAGGTAAATAATCAACAGACAGATTCAGTACGTTTATCGGTGTGCACATACGAAATAACTTCAATGACTGGAAAATCATGTTTTTGTAATGCAACTGAAAAATAGCAGTGTCGGTACAATACCCATGTATTAAACCAAAATCAGTTTTGTACATGCAAATTCATTTATGATTGTAACATCGCTCAGCATAATATAAAAGTTTGTAATAAAATGGAGAATATACATTCAGTTACATGTAAAGTTTGAGTAATGCTTTTGAAATTCAGTCTAATGGAAAGAGTTCGCTGTATTGTGACATGCGAAATACATTATCAAAAATGTTCCGAAAGACACTATTTATGATATAGAAATTGATCACAATTATAAAATCTGAAAAGTATATATTAACGCGTACGGTTTAGAGGATATGGAAGAGTTGCCAGATACACTACATGAGAATTCTGTTATTAATTTCACATTAACGATTTAAGTAGTCTTTGTTGTTTCGCTTATGAAATATAAAAAAATATTTTTGGAAGCAATTTAATTTCGGAATACCAATCTGATTGGAGTTTAAAAAGATATTGGTATTTCATTTTCTCCGCTTCCAAAAAAACATCTCAAGGTGACTTATTCATTAACTGATTACTCATTCATTTACTAATGAAAATGCATTTTTCCAATTTCATTCATTTCAACAATTAATGGACTCATTTTATAAATTAACCTTTCCTTCTTCCAATTTTTTCTATCTGGAGAATTCACGAGTTTCCTATCCCTTTGTTCATATTCTCCTTTTCATGTACAATCGTATCAGTTATAATTTATTTCTTCGTCAATTTATTTTCCCACACTTCTGGCACTTTATAATGCCCTAGTGAAAAACAGATAAGTTGAGGGTTTTACCAATGTTGTAACAAATATACTCAAGGTACAGCCTTGTTAGTGAACTCTTCCATTCACGTACAAAGTAATTTTACGGAAAGCTTTCCGTCCTCGTAATTTCCAGTTAATTTACAGATCAAATACGAATATTTACTAGTAGAACATTCACTCCGGAATCAACATCGTTTTTCAGTGAAATTTATACAAACCGTTTCGTGCTTTGTTAATTCCTTACTAGGATAATATTCTGGCCCTCTTGAAAATTAATCTTAATATAACAGTTGTTACTTGTTCTGGAGTTTTACTGCACATAATAAAAGCTAACTAACACATAACTTTCTTCTTACAGATATCAACAATTTTCAACAATGTTCAGCTCCACATTGAAAGACATTCCGTCATCCAGCAGGGAATTAAAAACAGAAAAAAGCCCGTATCAATAAATGTAAAATGCGGACCCACCTCGACAGTTCGTACCCTCTCCAACTGAATCCGCAAGAGAAAGTGTTTCAAGTACCCTTGACAACCGCGAACAAAAGAACGCACTCAGGACGCGCGCGCCGCCGCGCCGGCCGCATGCGCGGGCACGCGTCGGCGGCCGGGGTGGGGGGAGGGCGGGCGCGGATGCCGTGGGATCCATGCAAGGCGCTGCGGATCAGCGCACGGCCCCCTCCGGCCCCGCCCCTGCCCTCCTCACCCCCGCCGGCCAGGCACGCCGCAGCGTGCCGCGGGTTGAATATCTCTTTACCGCTGCCCAGCACAGCACACCGCCCAAGATACCCGACAGACGTAACGAGCACAGGTGGACAGCACGATCTTTCTCGCATTGCTACACACTACGAAATATTATAATACTGCAAATGCTGGACACATAGGGGAAGTAGGACACACACGGAGAGACACACAGATAGAGGGGTCACACTAACAATATATGTGCATTCATTTACACAAAAAATATTATTCAATTTCAGAATGTGTAAATTGAGAAGATTGAATTTCTCGCACGGATATTTGCAATTATTTACAAAATATGGTACATTTTTGTCAAATAAAGACCGGTTATCTTAACAACATAGCAAATCAATAAAATATATAATATACTTAAAATGAAGAGACAACTACTACAAATATTTCCAAAAATGTATTATCAATTTTCTTCGAGTTAATAGACCCGCAGACAAAGTCACTGCTACAGCGCGAATTCTAACGAACACTTGTAGTGAATACCACCATAGTTTGAACAAAAGGCAACATTGAACAATGTCATTCATTTTCAGCTGAAAATTGAAACCCATAAAAAAGGTCATCGGTGATCGTCTGAGCAATACCATTTACTTATATACACTTGCATAGAGAGTAGGTCACTAGATAATGAATTTGGATTTCACATTCTGGCGAGACGGACCAAATGGGGCTACTTTAATTTGCAACTAAGTCATGCACTTATCGGGTGATTAAAATCTTCATCTACAGTTTCCTTAAACTAATAAATCAATGGAATCTTGTTGACTTACGTTGGATATTCCTTCAGTAAACATCAAGAAGTTAGGTACTACGAGTAAACATTTGTGAATCAAATTAGAATATCTTTGGAATTGAATGAATTTAACTGAATCTTTAATTTAACAATATTAATTATTTCACCCCTCTAGTACATAATTAGTTTAACATTTATGTCGAGACTTTAATGTGCACACTCACAAATTGTGTGTACACCGTTTATCCGCTACAATCGTTCTATATTCCCTTAACACAGGAAACTAGTGGTGGTACAAGAGCTATTTTCTCGCATTCTTTCTAACTGCTCCGTAGGATACTAATACATAAACATGCAAAAGTGTTTTCAACCAGGAAACATTTTTCTCCGCACTGCCGTACAACTGCCCTACAGAAATGCTTTGAGGTTCGAACTCGCGCCGACGCCTAAAAATTTAATATTTCCAACAAGTAATTTTACAATGTTTCAAAATAAGGAGAGTTCGCCGAAAATGTACCCTATCTTGCAGCGTTCACTGCTGCATATGAGGAGAAAATTTAATGTAAAAAAATTGGAGGAGTTTTCGGAGAAATTGTATTTCTTAGAAATTGCATAAATTTCAGTCACAAATTAAGCGATATCTACTTTTTTTAAATTATAAAAATCATTTTTTAATGCGCTGATAGAACAGACTTTGTTTAGGAAAAACAATCGCTACCTTCAATTGTGTAGTTTTAACGTTCCATTTTGCAATGTTCAAAAATACGAGAGTTTGCCGAAAATAGGACGAGCACATTTTACTGTCCCTTGATACACACGAGGAGAAACTGAAAAATATTTAAATAACGTAAAATTGTCTAATTTTCGGTAAATTTACACGAAACATATTTTCGATCAATTGAACATGACCTTGTCTCAAGATATGTCTATAAAGAACAGTTTTCATTAAAGAAAAAATCACTATCGTCAATACTGCAGTTTCAGCAAGACTTCAGGAACTAATTGCACCTATGTGAGTTTCGAAAAATCGTCGATCTGGATTGCCGAGATCGGTAAGGCAGTTGTATCGTGGCGATCGCGGATCGCAGGATCGCGGGTTCGAATCGCGCCTCGGGAATGGATGTACTGTGATCGTCTCTTCACCCTTCATCACCCTATCACTTCATTAAAGAAGGATTTATATTCCCAGCGCGCAGCTGGCTAATAAAAAACAGGAATTTCTATGAACATGACATCTGCACCATTCTGTCAAGCGTTCTTCACGCTATTCGAGGGCAAAGTTAAATAAAAATCGAGTAATTTTTGAGAGAATTGTGAACATGTTATGAGGCTTCTCGTAAAGTACCCTCAAAAATCAAAGTATCTGGTTGACACTCCCAAAGACTGGAGTTCGTTCAGATCGATCACCGAATATCAATCTTGGGTAAAATCGGCTGAACGGTTCAGGCGCTAGCGTCGACCACGGACAGGCAGCCGGGCGAACAAGCACACACACGTTTTGCTGTCAATCGATTTTTCGTTATGAAGGACCCACAAAAACGGATTCTGGCTACATCATAAGTTAGAGGAAGTAATTTACTATGTACAGGAGCAGTATTTTTTCATTTTTTCGTTACCAGGCGCGGCAATAAGAGGTTTCCGGCCGAAAATACCCCTTTTCCGGCGCGCGATTATTATGCTTTCTCTTCTTACACTTACATTTCAATCTTTTCTGCTCGTTGCGTAATGCATTTTATTTCCTTTCGTGATTTTGGAATGTTCATTTGTCGAAGAAGGAATATACACTCCATCTCCGTGGGAGGATGTGTGTATATTTAGGAGGGGATGGAAGGGGCTGCACGTCCCAATGCGAAAGATGCAGCACTCCAGACCATCGGCCGTCAGCCACCCTCCAGCCCCTCACCTCTTCACCCCCCTCCCTCTCTCTCCCTCCCTCCTCCGCACATCACCCTCTCGGCCGCCGCCCGCCGTCCGTCCCGCGAACCTTTTGTTTACGGGCCGCGCCCCTGCGGATTTACCGCCCGGCTATGTATATTCATCGTCTCCGGGCGGCCAGTCGGCTGCCAGGCCCCACGCGAGCGCCCCGGACGAGGCCTCCGGGCGGGCCGCCCCCGCGCTGCCGCTGCCGCCCACCGCCCACCGCCCCTCCCACGGCTCGCCGCCACTGTGTTTGCCCACCTGCCACTCCGGTAACATCATCCGCGTCGTCCTTCGTACTGCCATTTCTCATTCGTTTTCACACTCATTTCCCATGGTGTTCTGATGCAACCACTAGATTAGTTTGTTTTTTAAATTCACTTTCTGATTAAGACTAATAGTTACCTTTTCTTCCTTGTTCTTTACCAGCATTTGCGACCACTAATGGATTTGAAGCGTGCATAAATAAAACAGCAAATAGAAATTTAAAT